GGTTGACAAAATTTGAACACGAGATGAAACGGGAGGCGGTGTCCGATGGTGATGTTCCTTCTCATCACCATTTCTCCAAAGTGGAGACGTAGGCTCTGGTCAACTGAGGCTGAGCGTGCGCTAGTGGGTCTGATATCTGTATGCACTAGCAATTTTCTATCTCCGTCGACCGAGTCACACTATAGATAAGAACTTCCATATAAAGTTTTCTCTTCTATTAATGATCAGTCCATAAAAGCCATCATCTATTTTCTGTAATGGCCTACTTCCCCAGATCTGCTTTGCCGACTGATGTGTGTGCAACAGCTGTGCTGTACTGTTCACTGCCGTAACCGCAAGGTTTTCTTGACATTGTGGACTGGTTGTGGGATTCTACAGCCTGGACGATCGAATGATTTTTGTGTGACTTGTTTGTTTGCATCATTGCATGTCACTGTAAATAGCTCACTGACTTGATACGTGCTCGTGTGCTGTTACTAGTTCATAGGTTCTGAGATGACCATGCACAGACTTTATCAATGCCTGTCCAAGCTTCTTTCTCACTTTGCTGGAGAAAAGTTGGGTTTGCCTTTTTCATGCTGGTAGCAAAGATCTTTTAGAGAGACCTGGTTGTCGGGTTTCCCGTCGAGGGAATTTACCCAGGATTTTTGTTTTTCAAAAAGTTTGATTGTTCGGCGCAACAGCTTAGCTGGAACTAACCCATTCTGCTAAAGAGGGACTGGGGCTTCTACTTTTACCTGGCTGAAATTACCGGTTTCAACAAAGATTGTTAGTTTGTTACCTCCATACAGCTGTGGGAGTGGTGTATGTTCTGCTGCCATTTGCTTGCAGAAAACAGCTTCTCTGCCTTGTTCTTTTGGTGGTCCAATTGGCCTGATCACACTGTCTCTGTGATGATATACCGCAGTCCTTTGTCCCGACTCTTCCTGAACCCATATTGTGTTCATGTCTTTCTGCAGTCGTATACTGAAGAAAGAATGGAACTTCTGTTGAGTTAACATCGACACAGTTGCTGGCTATACAATATATTCATCTGGTCATCAAGTCTAGATGTTGTTCGTGTTTCAGGTAGTCAGTCTCATATTCGGCATGACGCGTGCTTTGTCTTACTTCGTCGTAAGATATGCTATATATCATTTCGCGGCACCAGATGCTCAATGTTGTTCTTGCCTTAGCATAAGTATATAACATAGGAGTTTTTTTTTCTTCATTTCTCTTTTCAGATCTGGTTCCTGTTGGCGTTTAAAGCACTTTCTTCGCAACCTGACAATCGTATCTCCAAAAAAAAAAAAGGCTAAAGTGATTTGGGTGCTGAACCTGAACTGCTTGCTAGCCCAGTTCCTGCCAGTAATCCCTGTTTTCTGTTCTTTTCTTTTCCCAACACACGGAGGAGACCTACGAACCAGCTATCCTAACTCGTGAGCAACAGCACTGGCTTCACGAGGACAATGATCGAGCTATATCTTCATAATCTCATGGGCTATGTGATAACATCCACTGCTGCCGCCATGCCGGTTATTCCTGTGCCACCTTCATGATAACAATCATCTCGGTTCGGCGCAATACGAGTGCACCCCACCATGGACGCCGACGCCGGGTTCAGGCCATGCTTTACCACGTGGAGTACGTCGTCGGCAACCCCAACCTGGTACAAAATGTTTCAGATCATGCTTGACTCGAGCACAATCGCTTCATCCATCATGGTATTGGAGACCAAGTTATAGTGATGTTCTTAATTTGACGTCATGATAAAATGAAACCTCGTTTCAACCCCTTAGGATCCGCTCCTGTTGCGCCGCGCAAAGCATTCGGCCTCCGTTAGAAAAAACATGTGCTTAATCCATCCTTCTTTGGATTCAGTTTTCCAGAAATTGATGGTAAGGGTAATAATCGCTGTTGCAAACACGTTGGAACTTGCACCGTCTCGCCACGTACGTTCTGCCTTCTATCCCACTACATGTACCATGTCGCGACTGCCACCATTTGCCGCAACCCAACATGTCCGAAAACAAGAGACACTTAGGGCGTGTTCGGCAATGACCCAGCTTCACAGAACTACAGGGAATCAACTTCTCCTCCTCGCTTCTCACTCCAAGTAGCGAACCCAGGAACGTTCGGGAGCCAGCGACAGCTTCTCGCGGAGCTGCAGCCCAGCTGGAGGGCAGTGGCCTGTTAGGAGTGCGTTGGGCCGCTGGATGCAGCCCATTTCGAGGGAGAGAAGAGAGATTGTGTACCAAATCGTTTTTCTTACGAGGAACCAGCGAATCGTTTTCTTTAGCGGTGGCAGATCGTCGGTAATATCATCCAACTCTCGCTTTTCCTTTCTGTGGAGCTGGGCTTTCGTTGCTTCTCATTTTTGCACTATGGGATCCCTCGGCTTCTCGTTTCCAGCTTCTATGAGCTAAACCGTTCGGTACTGCTTCACTCGAGGATTTTGAGAAGATAGAAGCTGGAGGAGATCAGAACAGGCCCTTAGGCAATGAATATGGGGCTCCAGAGTCTAAGACAGGCTTGCACCGCTCTATCCACTGTAACACACTGTTTATGTATCGATGACCTCATCCGCTCACATTTCTAAAACTTCCTTTTCCCTCGGTCATAGGAAAATGGTAATGTAAACATGTATGAATGATCTCATCCGATCACATTTCCAAAACTTCCTCCCCCCTCGGACATGGGAAGATGGTCATGTTTAGTATCCTCAACCCCACATTCACAAGTTGGACACTGAGCACTAACCTTGACATGACGATTCGCCAAAACAATCGAAGGGGAGGGTTACCATATGGGAGAGACTTCCGTAGAAAAAAAAATACCTTCACTCCAATGGAATAGTAAGGTCACATACTCTTTCTGTACCCGGGTTAACATTGATGAGGAGGATGTGGAGAGGACGACGAGGGACTCGGCTAGTGAGGAAGTGTTGATGAATTAGATCTTGATTCCAAGTGCCTCGGCCTGTGAGCAATTCAGAGACCCGACACATCCTGTATCTTCCTTGGGGTGACATGGGTTTGTATGACGGGGGACTCGGCAATCATGGATCGCTCCAAATACGAATGTCCGACCATTGCCGACCCTCGAAATCAGCCCATTCTTCAAGACCTCTAGACCGTAGGTGATCACCTGCCAAGTTGATGAAGCATTACCTACAAACATTGTATCTTCCAAACAACCATTCCCACACCTAACCAAGTCTCAAAATATGTAACACATGGGGTTGTTTGGTTCTTACCCAAGCTGCCAAATCATGGGCGCACCAAAAAATATTGACGGGCAATTCGGCCACCTCGTCTCTCTAGTGAATTGACGAAAAATAGAGGGGAAAAACTGAAGTAAGTTGACACGCCAAAACTTTGAATTCCATCGAGAAAAGACGTAAAGTCTCAAGTCAACGTTAATATTTTGGCTGGGCAGACGAGGGCTCCTATCCGAAGAGCCCCATGGTACCCTGCCAAGCACAAGCTCTTTGTTGACAAAGATCACCAGATAAGGAAAAGATTTCAGGCAGCTGACGTGTCACCATTTGAGTACTACCAACAGTTCTAGGTCACCACACGAACAAAATAAGAACAGTTGTGGGTCACTGACAGCCCGGCCGGTGACGGCAACGCTGAAGCGCATCTGCGCATGGCAGGCCGAGCATTGTACTGTACATGGGCGGGCAAAACGCTCGAGAGTTAAGACCGAGCCGGCCCAACCCAACCGAGGAACCCCAGGGCCATTCAGACGTCACCCCGCACGCCACGCACAAGCGACGACCCCTTCCTCCTCTTCCGCCCTAGGGTTCCGGCCATGGCGCACGGCGGCCAGCCCCGCCGCGCCCCGGCCGCACGCCGCCCCAAGCCTTCGGCGTCTGCCCCCGCCCCCGACCGGAAGCGGAAGCGCGCCGCCACCTTCAAGACCGCTACGCTCAAGAACCAGATCCGCTCCACCGAGCGCCTCCTCCGCAAGGTACTGGGGCTCTCCCCGCCCGCCTGTGGCTGGCTACCTTCCAGCAGCCGCGTCTTGTGGACTGGTGATGCTTGTTATGAGTCCAGCAGTGCTTGCTTGGGCTTCGTTGATTAAAAAATGGCTCGATTAGTGTCGATTGCCAGTTGCTAGTGTAGGGATTGCAGTCATTGATGGTTCTCTGGTGCCTCATTTTGCTTGCGGTTGGCTGTGTTTAGTGCCAGCTCTAAGGGTTTCAACTTTCAAGAGGGTTAGTGCTGTAGCTGACTTGATGATGCTTGCTTTGGTACTGGTATATGTCCAATGTTGCTTCAAAACCGTATTATCTGATGCTGTGTAGGAAGCCTTAGCTAGATACATCTGAAAATTTTCAGGAATAACATGTGATTGCTGTTCTCTATTTGGGAGTACAGTCTTGGACTCTAGATCGATGATGAGCGGTTTATTTATCCTAGCTTAGCAGGTCGCCCTAATTTTCTGAATAACAAGCTTAGCAGTTTATTTATTCAGAAGTGCAGATAAAACAGGACAGTTTAGGAATACTAATAAGGTGATAGAAACATGAAAATGCAGTGTAAATATGATCTTAGTTTTCTTCAGCCACTGCAACTTCAATCTGAAGCCGCCAAAGAGTATGCCCTGTCACGTTTGGGCATGATCTGCCCCCCTTATTGGAAATCAAGCAAATGCACTTTGACTCTGTTGTAGCTTCCTTTGTATTCCTGAGTACAATACTTGCATCTGAATCGTGCAATTCCTCCACCTCCTGCACCTCCTTCTAAGACGTCCACGTGATTCCACAAAGGCCTGTTACATATATATATTTTCCGGCACATCCTAAAACAGCGTGAGGCATATACAACATTAGACAATGAGAAGACCAACTTCAGCAGGCAAAGAACTGAAAGGGTCAAGTCTCAACTGACCATGGCCAAGAAAAATGTTGTCTATCTGGTCGGAGCCTGGGAGTAAATGAAGGAGAAAAAGGCGGCGCTCAAACCCATTGGGTGGCGCAGTGGCTAGCTCTTTTTTCTCCAGTGCAGCGACAGATGGGCGGAGAGGGAGCACTGGAGGCTGGCCTCCTTCCTCGCGTGGAGGGCTGGAGGCGCTTAGGTCAAGGGGGAGGGATTAGGGGTGCCGGAGCTCAAAATGGTGGAATCAGTGATGGTTCTCAGATGCGGGGAGGGAGCACCGGAGGCTGGCCTTCTTCATCCTTGCTGGTGTGGCGGTGATCAGGTAGGGCCAGTGCGGCGGCTCTCTGGTGGGGATGGGGGGGGGAGCGGGGTGTTCTGTATATGGATGGAGTGTAGGGTTTTTACGTATTCTGGAAAGGTATCCCAGTTTTTTTTTTTGGAAAAATAGAAATTCCTTTGACACGTATGAGATACATATTTGTGCATATCTGAATGTATCCGAGTATCTGGGCCTGATACACTGGTTTTGGGCCATATCCATGTTTCCAGACCTGGCATGCACGATGTCTAATGTACATACATATGTTTTGATTCACACTAATCCAAATTAAAGAATACATGCTCAAAGCTTTTCCAAAATGACAAGTTCTGGCAGACTTGGGGCCTCTTCATATGTATCTGGTGCCATTTTGCAGAACACATCTTAGCCTTAGCCCTTCATACATTTGAGCCCTGTATTGGGATGTTTCATATTTTATCTACAGGACCTTCCTAATGACATGAGGGTGGCTCAAGAGAAGAAATTGGAAGAACTAAAGAAACGGCAAGAGAATCAGACTCAAGAGGCCATGCAACGAACAATACAGTTGAGGGATAGAAAGATAAAGTTTTTTGGTCGGTGGTCTCTTATCTCTGTTCGTATTCGTTTCTAGTGTCCTTTGTGACTGTGTCTGCCTGTATGAACTTATCATTTTCTTGATGTGGGTATTCTAACTTCACAGAGAGGCGAAAGATTGAGAGGATGATAAGGCGTCTTGACAAACAGCAACGGATAAATGCTGATGAGGCCAGCAACAAGCTGGCAACATTGCGAGAAGATCTTGAATATGTTAGAGTAAGCTCACTGATGTTCTTTCTCTTGCTTTCTGAACCATTTTTTTGGCATGGGATTTAGTATATTTCTTTAGGACCAAGGAGTATCCTCGGTCTCCATCATGGCTGGTACTTGTTCTAGAATCATTGAGCCTGCTTTAATTTTCATCTAAAGGTTATTTATCTTTGGTGGTGCAGTTTTTCCCAAAGGAAGAAAAATATTTCCCTTTATTCACCGGGGGTAATACCCCAGATATTGTGGAGAAAAGGAATACATGGCGTAAACAGATCAAGGAGAATCTCATCGCTGCTGCAGCAAATGGAAAGGACTTAGAAGGTGCATGTTCCTCTTGATTAGCTTTCAATTATTGATTTTCTAGATTATGATTGCATCTTCAACCTTCATCTTTACATTGAAATATGTGCCACATGTTGGTTAGATATCTACTGTCTAAATCACTAAATTTTGTTTTGCATCACCCGACAGAGACAGCCAGTGACGATGACACCTTGGATGTGAGTGAAGATGACTTCTTTATGTCTGGAAGTTCAAGTGATGAAGAGGCAGATGATGAGCTTACCGATAAAAGTACAAAGTATGATTCACAACTCTTGGGCATTGTACTTGCTATTAGGTTCCCAGTGGTATATCATGCGTAAATTTGTTACTCTGAGAACATTACACGGGGTGATCAATTAATGTTTAGTTCGGCTTATATTATTGCATAGAGTTTGAGTGTGTTAATGAAATTGGGTTATCCAAAAACTATCTGTGAATAATCATGATATGTAAGTGATCCATGCAATGTTGCTTTTACTGCTGCAAAATATCCTATCTGGGTCTGCAAGATAGCATTTTTTGTGACCGGATGATTTTCCCGTGGCAAATGTCATTTTCAGCTTAGTTTTGAAGTCAAGGGACAAGGTTGGTTCCTGAAAAACAGGGTCTATAATCATTTTAATAGTTGGTTGATGCTCATGCAGTTTGAATCATTTCATTTCGTGGTGGGAAAACATCATATTTTCTAATAAATTATTCCCCACAGATTTTCTCAGGCTGGATCGTAACCTTGTATCTGTTTTGCTTTAACATCGTATGTTCAGTGACTTCATCACTGCATAAATGTTGCATGGTAAGGAAAGATATCCTAATGCTTATTTTTTTGCAGAGAACCTGGTGCTTCAGGTAGGGCAGCGTCTGGTATGTCGAGTGATGAAAAGAACCAGGTTGTTTTCTGCACTGTGTCTCCAGTGTTTCCAATCAGCTGTCACAATTTTGCTTCCTTATATTTAAGCCCACTACTGTGCAATGCAGCGGCAGAGAGATGCTCGAGTGCTTATGCCACCACCTCGCTCATTACCACCTAATAGAGCTAGATCTGCGGATAAACGTGCGGTGTCCAGCTCTGGCAATGCTTCGACCAGCACAAGCGGTAACTCGTTCAAAAATAGAAGAGCATCAAATCTTTCTGGAGATCACAACAGCACTCTGAGTTCAAATTCTGATGCTCATAAGCCACGCCGCAAAAGGAGACCGAAGAAGAAGAAGCAGGTATAACTTTGCGTACATGCTTTAGCCTTCGTACATTTTGTCATGATATCTATATATGACTGAAAATAACTCTGATGGTTTGAAACTCTCGGGTTTCTAGTCAGACGCAGTTGTAGTGTGGTTATTTATCGTAAGTAGATCTCTGTAAGAACAGTTAGAATAATAAAATCCGACAAACATGAAGAGAAATCTTTCCACATGGTGTCTGGGTGTGTAGCATGTATGTATGTATGCGTATAACTGTAAGTTGGCTATGCTTGGACTTTTTACACAAGTGGGGAAGCTATATCATTGGGAATAATATCTTAGTTGGTTACCTTTGTACCATTTGTCTGCCTGCGTACAACATCACCGATACCATGTCACCTTGTAGCCCTGTACTCAATATTATACAAAAGTCTGATGATGCTTGCTGCTTCTTGTCCATCTCAACAGGCATGAATGAATGAATGAATGAATATTCCGATCCTCTAGAAGAGCAGAAACCAAGATGTGTTCCATCCCAAAGCGCGGCTTCATTCATGGCTCGTCGATTCGAAAAGGGAGAAAGAAACCCAGCCAGCAAGTGTGCCTGAGCAAGCAGTTGATTTTGTACGCTCGCTCTCTCTGATGTAAAATGAACCCTCCTGTTGCTCCCGTCCATTTGTCTTTCAGAAACAGAAGAACTAACCGTCGTAAAACACCGACCGACATTGCTCGTTCTTATCCCTGACTATGTCTTCAACTCTTTACAACTTGGTGCCAGCTCCATTCGGGCGCACACACGCTGTGCTCCTGCCTGAAAGCCATGCTACACGGTCTCACCGTCTCCTTGCCGAGTATGGTCTGCTAGGCTGTGGCCTGTGGGTTGTGGGCCTGCCCACCGCTGCTGGGATCCCATGACCTGGTAACGCGTGATGCCGCTGCACTGTTGTCTCCCCACTGTCTGGTCCGCATCTGTATCACCACCATCATCATGCATGGCAATATGGCATGGTTCATGGTGGGTCTAGTGCCCCTTGTCCGTAGCTAGCCATCGCCTATAAGAAGAACGTTCAACCTTACCCTCTTGCAATCAAATCGCCCTTGTTTTTGTTTTTTTACCGGGCACGTGTATAGTACCGTAGCGTAGGAGTACAATGTTACTTACTGGAGCAGTACATCGGCAGCTACGCTTCCTTATCCCGCGCCTGCGTTTTGGCCAGGATTTTTGGTTGCTCGTGCAGCCATGGGGGTGGAGGTCCCGGTTATGCTGTGTGTGACGTACGTTGCAGACTTGCTGTGACTCCTCTACATTCGTATGCAGTGATTCCTCTACGTTCGCGCCGCTGCACGGAGCAGTGACTCCGGGATTTGTGCGCGTTATCCGTTTGCAAAACAAAAGAGAATAAGTCGAATGTGAGTCTTTGGCAGAAATCGTCATCGGATGCTGGTGCTGGTATCGATGTTTAGGTTTGTTTTCATTCGGATTGATCTGGTTTGTGTGTACTGTCCTTGGAAGGAATGTATCCACAGGAAAAGAGAAGGGAGAAGTGGTACAGTCGTATGGAAGGAGAAGGGAAAAGCGAGGGGAGTGCCTGGCAATGGCGCCACCGCCACAGGGGGAAGGAATATGATGAAACATCGCTTCTTGATCGGACGTATCCTGCGATGGGATCGACAGTTCACGCGCCACCACCACCACCAGTTCGACATGACTTGTGCCATCATCATTCATCAGCAGACACAAAGCAAATGTGCTCATCTGTGAGGGATGAAAAAACGACCATATTTGGAGCTTAATCTCCCTCTCATTTTATGATCCGTGTCCCAGTTCCTCGGCGGTACAAAAGATTAGATTAACTACAAACTAAGCAGAGAACTTATCTACACACAAGTTCCAGTTCTTTCTTACTACATGGCTGGCTGAACCTGAACCTCTGACTGTACATCAGTAGATGCATGTACTACCTACTAGTACAACAAAACAGTACTGCTGCCGCTACTGCTAGTGCTGCACGCCGATCCGGCCGGCCGGCCTGACCCGCCGGAGCGCGCGCCCTGTGAGTCCTGGACCCAGCCTCGCGTTCGTACCGAGCGGATGGATGGAGTGCTTCACAGAGCGTGCGTACGTGCATGCCAGATGCGCGCGTGCCCGCGTAGCCCGGCTCACGGCCGGCCTCCGTCGCCGCTCACCCATGGCCTGATCATGCATCTGGCCCATGCGCGCGTGTGCCCGTCTCCTCATCATGTGCCACGGCCGGTTTCCATCGTCTCCAGATCGCTTCATGTATGTGTGTGTGTGTGCGTGTTCGATCGTGTCCTTTTCGTCGCCATCATCGTGCTTCCGAGCTTCTCATTATCCTCAGCCTCTTGCAGGAGGAGATGAACATGCTGCAAAACCAAACGAACAACCACTCGTTAGTTAGGCTCACTTTCTAGTTTCTAGTGTACGTACGTAAATCCACACCAAAGATGTGAACTGGTATGAGATGGAGGTTTGTTTGCTTACTCCCACGGGACGTCGCCGGCGAGCATGAGGTCGCCGTCCTTGTCCTCGTAGGCCATGGCGAACTGGCCGTTGTCCGGCGAGGAGCCGGAGCAGGAGGAGAAGCAGCCGAATCGGGCGTCCAGCGCGGCCCGCAGCTCCCCGTACCCCCCGTACGTCCGCAGGTCCACCTTGCGCAGGTAGGGCGCCCCGTCCATGCTCACCTTCACGTACAGCCCCCCTCTCTTCCCGGCCTCGCCGGCGACTTTACTCTCCTTCGCCGCCGACGCCGACTGGAACGTGCTCTTCCGGTACGCCCCCACCGGCGGCCACCCAACCACCTGAACCCTGCGCGCACACACCAAAAATTCCATTAGCTACTGTCCCACAGCTACACAACTAGCGCATGCATATGCTAAGCACGCAGGGCGTAGCCTTGTGGTGGCCGGCGCTTACTTGGAAGCCGGCGCGGCGTCGTGGTCGTCGGTCCCGGAGGCCTCGCTGGTGGCCGCCGCCGCCGCCACTGTCGACAACGAGCGCTTCTTCTGCGCGCCGAACGCCGCGTCGCCGCTGCCGGGCGGGCCGAGCCGCAGCTCCGCGTCGATGATCTCCATGGACGGACGTTCGAGCCGGCGAACAAGGTCGCTGGGAAATGAGAAGTGCGTGAGGCTTGGATAGCGTAGCGTGCGGTTGAGGTTGGGGTGCGGGCGTTGCTTCGCTTGGGTTGCGCGGCTGCCCCCGCATATATAGCGCGGGAGGGACGGGGCCGGGTTGGTGATGGCTGGCTGGTGGTTGCGTGCTCCTCGGCTAGCTGCTCTCACACGCTCGCGAGGACAGGGATGGCGCGGTGCGGTGACGGGTGGGCCGGGGGGACAGCGAGGGAGGTGCTGTGTCTGGGCCCCGGCAGACAGGCGGGCCCGCGAGTAATGGACCGGGTCGGGGCAGATTCCCAGCGCTGCCTGGTGGCGGGCCCCCGGCCTGTCTGGCACATGCGGCGGGTCTGGCGGGGCCGTGCCACACGTACGTACGTGTCGCGCGCGGCTCGGCCAGTCTGGATGGACTCTGGTCTTCACGGTCACGGCGAGCCACGGTCATGCATGTCACGCTCTACGTATAAGTTAACTATTTTTTCAAAAAAAAAACTGTACTCGTACGGGTTACCCGGGTAAGAAAGTGACACTACCACGTACTCCCTCCGTTTCGAATTACTCGTCACATATACATCCATTTCTGTGATGAGTAATTTGGAACGGAGGGAGTACGTAGTACGTACTTTGTTGGCCAGTCGATCACCTTTTTCCCCATCCTGGTTAATTATTCTTCACATTTTTTCTGTGCGGGTAAAATATGTACAGTATTACTCAACGTACCACTTGAGGATCACAATCAACAAATGTTGAGCTCAACCGCATTAGGAGGGCCAGGCCCTAACCATGCCATGGTTCCACCTTCCGCACGAGGAAAAATAGCTGAACAATGGCTAACCTTATTCTGTGAACGTCTAACATGAATAATACTAGCTAGTTCTACGGAGTTTTGGGAGTGCGTAGCTTAATCTCTTAGTTCTACTTACTTTGCCTGGTTCAAACGGTTGATGGAGAGACAGCATTAGCTAGCGAGCTGATGATGATGCCGGTCGACGTAGATGCCACGACCCACTTGCTTGGCCGGCCCGAGCCGTGACCCGATGAAGCAACGACAACGCGAGGGATACTGTGACGGTCTAGGCAAACATTGTGAGCAGCCACACACGCATATGGATGCATAGCACCGGCCAGCTTTCGTGCGCGCAGGGGTTGCCCAACGGACCCAGACAAGAGGGCGAGCTGGCGAGGCACGCAAGCGAGGCCCATGCAAGTCTCGCCCGTATGCATGCATGCACCGCCAATAATAAACAAACAGACGCATATGCACGCACATCTCGTGCCGCTGCCGTCGACCCGATCCGGTAGGGGGCCGGCCACGCCTTTCCCGCTGGGGCCGCCGGTCGTTGCCTGTCCCCTCCCACCAGCTCGTGATCGCATTCACGACCGCGCCCAACCGGCCAGCTAGCTAGCCACACCACTCACCGAAGCGGGCTCGGCCGATCTGATTCCCTGCCACTGCCTAGCTTGCTTGCATGATTCCGGAAAAATGATCGCATGCAACGTTGTCGCGCAGGGAAATTATGTACTGTATGTGCGCTAGTGTAAAAGGACAGCTGAATGGAAATAAATAAATGCAGTGCATGATTCTGGAGAATCGCATGCGACGTTGCCGCGCATTTTTGTGTGTGTGTTAACTAGAGCGATGCTCGTGCGTTGTAAACGGGATATAAATATTCCACTAGTACGTTATCTTGTGATTTACCTACCAATAATAATGCGGTTGTGTAAATAAATGTTCATCACATTGTAACCATGAATTACTTTATATTTTGATTAGATGTTTGGTAAGTAGATTAAAGTGGAATTGATTCACAAGGTAAATAAATTAAGGTGATTGATTATCATACATAGAAAGTTGAACGAAGAGATTGACAACTCTGGTAACAGAGAATGACAACTCCCGCAACAGATATTGACAGAGCATGACACTCTCAACCGAGCTCAATCCAGCTGTGAACAATAAACAACACTGAAAGTAAACAACACGGTTATCACAAAACTTTGATTCCGGATTACAACACTATAGGCAACGAACCACCACTAACGGCTCATAACGTTAGCTGATAGCCGCTGACGTGGAGTATTTGCCGATCCATCAGCGAAGACGGTATCATTTAGCAAGCTAAAAACTCAAGGAGCATGTATGTGAGAGTTCCACTTTAGCTTCCCTCAACACCAGGCGGGACGAGCAGCCCTATACCACGTGTAGCCACACTCTAGTGTCCTTTTCTACTTAGTTGGAGTTCCGAAGTAATTACGCATATAGAAATCCAAAAAGAAATCGATACGATCCACGTCATAATTCATATTGGATTCCCAAATTTATTAAAGAAAAAAGGAGCAATCGAAGAATTAGAGAAAAATCTACAAAAGGAAATTAACTCTATAAACCAGAGATTTAATATTTCTATCGAAAAAGTTAAAGAACCTTATAGATAGCCTAACATTCTTGCAGAATATATAGCTTTCCAATTAAAAAATAGAGTATCATTCCGAAAGGCAATGAAAAAAGCCATTGAATTAACTAAAAATGCAGATATAAGGTGAAAAGAAAGATGAAATGAGAACCTTACGTTCTTTTTAAGTAGTCCAGATTAAAAGAACAGCTGAATAAAAGAAAAAATGCACATGCTAGCTAGTTTAGGCCTCTCACCGTTGGTAGTTTCATAAGCTAAGGGCAACCCCAACATGGTTCATCAAAGACAAAAAACACCAAATGCATGCGAACACGTTCGGACGAGTCCACGGACAATGGTAGGGGAGTCGGCCATCCAACCATCCCCGCAAAATTTAAAAAAATAATGTTTACAATGTACTTAACGCTAGATGCCTGGCAAACTAATGCAATTTTAAGACTTTTTCTCGAGAGTACGACGATGTTTAGACCAAAATATATTATTTCCCCCCGCTCAAAATATATATTTATTTTGTAATGTTTTCATAATTATTACACTATGACACCCCAAAAATCGAGATTTTGGGTCCGCTACTGCCAATACTTATTATGTTATTAACCATTACAATGTAATATGGCTATTATGCCAAAGAGACTAGTACAAGCCTAGGAAAAACTTGTCAAATTTATTAACCAATAACGTGAAAACAAGTCAATATATGAGGCTACTAATAGTTTACTTAGGA